TTGTAAAGTTAATATATTAATATTGGAAAGTTGTATTTAAAGTAGTCGCTAATGACCACAGTTTTCATGCGATTATAATAAACTAAAAAAAGTTCCTCAATGCGCATCAGATCAAAGCATTAAGACTTCAGGGTCTGGAAATGTCCTTCAAGCCACAAACACACCTGAAAACTTCATGGCGTAGGCGGCGGTCACAGTAGAGCCGATTTGGGTGGAAATGATCGTACAAAGTCGGTAGATTTCGAAGTTCCGGATTCGTTCAAACACGCGCCGGTGAATAGAAATTGTACGAGAGCAATCGATCGACCTCTTCCGCTGATGTCCGGAAATATCGGCTAATCTGTTTCGTTTGGATCTCTCGGTTTCAATCGCCCGAAATCATGTAGAGTCAAGGCCAACTGCAATACCTTGGCCATCTGTAATGCATGTAGATGGTCTTGAGCGTACTTCTCGCAAATGATTCAGAAACGAGCTTTGGAATTATAGGAATATTTGGACGATTTTGGGTGTTACATTCAGAAGTTTTCGATTGAAATATGTGGGACAATTTCGTTCGCAGTTGTCCGTTAGCAAACGACCGATATTTCGCCTGTAGTGTGACAGCGCCTTACAGGGAATAACAACCCTAAGGGCTGGTATCTGCGTACTAGGCTTTCCCTTAACAAGGTCTTGCGCCGCGACCGCCGATTTAAATGTGGGTATAGGACTCTTTATTGCTTAAAACATCTAGAATTTAATCTAGACAAATTTAGCTTCGAATAATCAGAATAGTCCATTTTTGTGTTGAAAATTTCATACATTAAAACACTAATATTTCATGACTTAATTTTAGAATGTACACTTTTGAATTCAAAACATTTATTAAATACCTCAAATTAACCCATAATTCAACTTAAATAGGATACGTAAAGACATTGTAGTCAATGTTTAATAAGCTCTTTCTTTTTTATGTGACGAATATCACGAACACATTAAAACGTGTTTTATGGGTATTTTCTCAATCTTCACGACATCAAGTATTTATAAATTTTCTCACACAGGTTGTTCTGATTGCTACATCAAGAAGGACGTCGAGTTTGTGCTATTGAGTCAAAAGAGGAGCTCATTATATCTTGAGTTTTCCTCCCTCGGTTATCGTCTATACACTTCATTATTTGGTATCCTGCATTTTCACACGTGACGTTTTCTTGTTTTGCCTTGCGTATTCACTGGCGTGAGTCGCGTTCTACAAGGCTGTCCAAAGAGGTCATGAAGACGGTTCTATATTCGCAGCGCTCAATGATGTTTGTGAGTGAAAGCGGTAGAGATGGTATAAAAGATAGCTTCTCGACGGAAAGAATTAAGTATTTAATTCTTTGTTGAAAAAATCTTATTATGTATTTACTTATATAAATACCAACATAATCAGTTATATATAACTATAATTAACACAAAACTGAATAAATTTAAGTCGTCTAAATAAACTTTTGATGCTTATAAAAGAAAGAAAAATTGGATATTATGACTCTCAAAAGAGATATCTCAAGTTATTTTCAGTATGTCTTAATGGAAATACTATCCACATTCAAATCTACTGTTCTATCACTTTCTTCTCCGTTCTGAAGTAAAAGGTAACTGTTCAATGTTTTATAGAAATCCACATTGTAATGAATGAGGAACAAAACAATTTTGGCTATTCCAAGCACATATGCGAAGCTCACGTTCGGATGTAATCTTGTGCGCCTTTCCACGTATGTTGGCGGAGGGGGGTCTAAAATTATTACATTAGTCCTTGGATATTCATTGATTTTTTGAACGGTTCTGGGATCGTGACTAGTAATTAGATAATTTTCTTTTCGCAGCAACTCAAAAAACATTCTCTTAAAATATAAACTTATATTTAGTTTGTAGCTTATCTATTCCAAAATATAACTCACTTAAACGTATTTGAGGAGATTGATAGATAATAGTGTTAATTTTTTTCAACGTGGAAGTAAATGGAGAATATGACAACAAGGTTATTACATTCTCGACTTTTTACATTCTTAAGTTATTTTTTCTCTCGGCTGCGTTTGTTTTAGTCTTTAGGCATTTTATTACAATTTAATAATCTATGTTGGGATGATAGTGTAATTAAGATAATACTTATGTGTATGATGTGCGGATACAGGTCCATCTTTTTAACTTCATCACTTATGTTCGTGCGAATAGTACATTGCTACAACATACTTGGTGAATGAGTATTTGGACATATATTTTGAGGTACAATTTGATATGATATAGGTGAAACGACGTAGGTAATTGAAATGTGTTGAGTACAATTCAATATAAATCTGGCATGAACCCATCATTCATCATAATTTTATAGAGAAGTAATCCAGATTTCAATTCTATATGTCCAGCAGAAGACGCGGAAGGAATTAACTTTGCAGTTCCCGAAAAAGTAAACCAAAATTATTCTTCATATCTAGTGTCTTGAAACTCCTTGTATCGGGTTGAAAATTATTTGAATTTTTAATTATGTACAGAGCTCGTATGCTTAACTGCTGTACTCGTACTTTTTCGCTGTGTTGCAGTCTGCGAAGGAGTCTTTCGGAGACTCCTGTAGTGAGCAGTAAATGTGTCATCGTTTTAGAACGGTAATTTGGAGCTTTTGCACAACTTAACAGGCAGCAATCCACTGCAATGTCTATCTTCCGCGCATGCGCAGATACGCAAAAGTGATGCGAAACTGTTCATGCGCAGAAGATCGATAGTGCTTCCGATTGTTTTTACGATCGAGGGTGCAAACACTCCCCAGTCTCTCGTAGAAATATCGATCTGGAAAAACGTTGATAGTGTCTATTTTCTCACAATAGAATGAGCAGTAGTTTTCTAACGTTATATACCTAATGTCTTTTCACCGAAAAGGTAAATGATTGTTTACCATAAAGGTAGTTAATATGTAAAATAATTTTGCAGTATTTTAATTGTTTTTTTAGTATGCTGATGTGGTATTTTTTCTACTATCATTAGCTAAGTTTAATTCCTTATCTCCTTTGGCGAGATTTTCAATTTTCTCTCCATTTCACCTCATACTTATTACCATTCGTCATTTTGAGAAAGTCATGTGCCATTCGTCATTTTTCGTTGAATATTGTGTACAAAATTAATTTTTGAAGAATTTCAGCGAATTCCAATCAACCAAATTTCACATTTCAACGTATAGAGCGTGTACTCATAAATATGGTACCTAATGTGGCGAGGTTTGGATATAACAATGGTATCTGATATTTTGAATGAATTCAAGATTACTGGCATGTATTAAGGAGAGGAAGTAGTTGTAACCATTCCAAGTGATTTGCTGAACGCAACAAATAGCAGTGATAATTCGCCCGTAATTCAGCTTGCTTCTCTCTTTAGTGTAAAATCGCTATTGCACATTCATTTCAGTAACCGTAATTTACACCTGCGTGCGTTACAACGTACCGAAAAATGTATCGTCACAAGAAGGATCTCATAAATTAATATCTTGGTAGGGACTTAAAAACTTTGAAGGAATGTGGCTGCAAAGAGATATTACAAAACATCAGAGCAGAATGTCGCAGGGTTTCCATAAGGCAAATCGTAAAACTATCTACATTCAGACCTAATTGGTCATTGTGCAAGATAAGTATGTGCTTAAAGCAAGAATAATAGACGGAAATCATGGTTTTTCTTGTACACTTATGATCTGCGGAACTAATCGAAGACTGGCAATTTTTTGCCTTAAAAAGCTATTGTTTGAAGGAGAATTCTTGCGGCTATTTTTCTTCATCGAGATTTTCGATTCTTTGAGATCAAACAAGATAATTCACGAATATAGTTTAACATAACTTTTAATGCTTCTTCGATGACTTATAATGCAGAAAAATTCTGGCAGTAATAATAGAGAAGATGCGTCAATCGTGTTACTTCTCATACTAAAATATTTTTTTAAATATGTTAACACCATGTTAAGACCCTGGATTGCACAGTAGACGGAAATTGCTTTGCATTTCTGGACTTTGATGCTGAAATCATGTTTACTTTATAGAAAACTATCTCTCGCGACTGGGTTTTTGCAGACTTATTTTCTTACATTCTTCTTATATTCTTATTTAATTACCTAATTTTATTATTTTTTCCAAATCCATTCTTAATTCATCAACCATATCTACATTTTCGAAAAATATTTTTCATTTTTAACACCTAATTAGAAATTAATAAGTTCCGAAAATTTTCCTCAAATTACAAGTCTCCTCTATGCTATTTATTGAACATGAAGTGGTCAGTGCTAATTAGTAGCTTCAAAAATATCGGAATTTTTGTAAGTGAACTTTTCCCATTTATTTCGTAAATAAAAATGACCTGTGATATTATTCTCTTTTCCCTGCGCATTTGGGCAGACGCCGCTGAGACTGAGAGGGTATGCATGAAAAATAATAGTACATCGAAAAAAGAGAAGCCCAGATGAAAATAAACTATCATGTTTTGTCTTAAAAGCCATTTAAGTGTTTTTAAATTGATGTCTTGTTATGTAATACCGAGTATAAAACACGTATAAATTACATTTAAGTTTAACTGTAATGTTTTTAGTTCCCATGTTAATGTTGTGCAGATCGTTTAATAGTATATTTAAGTATGGATTTTATTAATTTATTTTAACGTAAAACTTCAGCTTAAAATGAATATTATTAATTAAATAAAAGTCAGATGCAACGAGGTTACGGGATTTACATTAATTTTAGGGAGACGTTTACTCATCTTCTTAGTTTATTATTTTGCTCATAGTTTTTAAAAATATTCAGAGTTTGTCTATCCTGTCTGTGAGCTGCTTTCCTTGAAAACCCTTCACCAAAAAAAATCCATTTTGTGGCTAGTGGATTAGCCAATGTAATAGCCTCTGAAAAAGTATATCAAAACGGGTAATCAAGAGCTCTTTCGTAATGCGCACGCGTCCCAACCAACGTCTGGGCCTTGGGACGCACTGTAGTACTATGATTGACCTTAGGTCGTCCCAGAAGGCTGTGGATAAGGAGGCCGGGGCCACCGCACCGCAGCGGTTGGAGCGGCGATGCGCGCGCCCCTGGCGGCTGAGGAGCGCAACGGCGGCGGGCAGCGCAGCGGGCGCTCCCTCGGCGCGCAGTCAGTGCCGGTGGGTCGTTGAAGGCGAAGCAGCGCGTGTGCACAGTGCAGACAGCTCCGCCCAGCACGCGTGCCGCCGCCAACGCCGCCGCCGCCGCCGGCCCCGCGCGCCGCCCTCTGGGTAAGCCCCATCACCTCTCAGCGCTGGGCGGTCCGCGTTTGGTTAACGGCCGTGTTGGCTATCGAGTAGTCGACGAAATGGGTAACGGACCGACGATCGGCCATTGACTCATCTATGGGGACAGTGTTGATTACTGCTGAATAAACATTCTACAGTTTCTTGTGGAATTCTATTGCCCACGGGGAGCTATATCGCCGTAATTTAATAACTCTTTGATACCTCCTTTTTTTATTTAGAAATGATTTATTCCTTCTGCTCTTAGTGTGCTCTTAGTGTCAAACCAACAGGCAAAGTTAACGATGAAACTCTTTTCTATTGGTCTATTTTCACTTTGACAAATTTCTTTCGCTGAAAATTTTTCTACTTGCTCTTTTTCCACATTTAATATCCTCCGAGTTTTTTGGAGTTATAAAAGAATCATTTATTACGAATGTAATATTTTAGAATCTAAAACCCTTTTTGGACGTTCTACTGGTTTGTATCCTTTCTTGAGTTTCCAGAATGCAAGAGAATATCTTGAATTCATCTTATGAATTCATCAGCTTCTTCACCTTTCTCTCATAATGCTTTCAATTTACCGTTGTTACTGCCCACTTCTCAGAAGTTACGAAAGAAACGTTCGAACGATGCGCGTATCTCAGTCACATTTCATTTGTGATTAGGCAATCGCTTAAAAGCGCCTGAATTTGAATGAAACTTCGGTCGCTAGGGAAATGCTAAAAGAAGAGTAAAAATGAAAAAGGAATGTCTTAGGTAATTGCATTTATCGAAAGTTGACTATTAAATTATCGTGACTACGATATAATCAAAGTATAATAGTTCTCGCTATTTCTGTCATTTCTACTTCTTTATTACATTTTTACTGTTTGATGCTTTACTGTTTTAGTAGTTTTCGTAAATTCGAGGCAGTAATGTGCACAACTACGTACTTCAGTAGATAAAGATTTTCTTACTCCTTGTGCTGTTAAGCACTGGCGCTGACGGTTAAACTAGACTTGATAACACTTTGCCAAGTACTCGTACTATCGCAATCTGGAATAGAAAGTTCTGGAATAAAATATTGATTCATTTAGAAATCCTAAGCCTACTACAAGATCTGTGATAAGTTGCACACGATGGGTAGCGGAATCATACATGTGAAAAACTCTTAACGACTACGAACTCTTAATCATGTTAAACACATAGAAAGCTTGTTCCATGTAATCATGTCATGCAATAGTTCACTCATGTTTGCTATTCATTCATATCTGCGTTCTACAAAACACAGAATATATGAATTTTTTCAAAACCGAGAAGAGCATTGTCTACCAACAGAAGGTAACTTTCAGCAGCAGAAATCCAGTAATTGACTCAAGAACTGGATGTTCTATTGAATAATTTCTTTTCATATATTGCAGTAGTTCAAGACATAATTCAAACACTTGAATGATTTTTAATGGATCATAAATGTACGTAGTTGTTACGGATCATTGTGTGCACCATGGTATACGCCTTCTTATACGAACCTAAAATAAAGAAAAAAAATTAGAAGCACTGTGATTTGTTCTTCAAACATTAACTTCTTTTTAATCACTTGATTTATCCCTAACTTATATTTTCTACTTTCAATTATCGTGCCAATAATTAATTATCTAATTAAGAAACATTAATCAAAAAGACAAATTATATCCTATACTCATTTACTCCCAGATAAGATTAGATAATCTTGGATTTGGGTATAGTCAGTCTTATTTTTCGATAGCCTTAAAAATTCCAGGAAAAAGAAGAACCTGAATACTATCTTCCAGAATGCAGGGGTCAAATTTGTTTATCCAAATATCAACAATAGTCTCTCTCTTCTTGGCCAATAGCACCTCCGCGGATGTAACGGAGATGAAAATATGGACATGAGCAGCGTTGATTGGAAGCACTATAAACTCAATTTCCCTCCAATGCTGGTCAAAAAAATCTTTGTTGTGGTGCGAATAATAAACACACAAAGTCTAGTGTCTGCCTTCGAAACGGAAATATTGAACCTTAAAAAACGTTCGTTCCTTTGTAACAAAAGTTATTCGAGCGAGTTGAATTAAAGTAGTGGAGTGGGGATTCAGATATATATTTTGAAAATAATAATTTTCGTTCTCTTGAATATCGTTTTTTGTCAGGAGATTTGCCGTGATTTTTGCGCACTCTTTGTTTTAGCGGAGTTTTTAGATGGAGCAAGATTGACCGGATGCAGTAGGCGATGAACATGTCGTCCGGCTTCAGGACGAGGGAGGGGGGCAGTTGGGAAAGGGGGGTTCACGTGCGGCCCGTGAGCCATGGTCTGGGACCTGTCGAACCGCGCTCCCACGGAGCTCGGCCGGAAGCCCGGCGCATCTGATGAGACCTGTCCTGGCTCCGGTGCCTTGCAAATTCAGAATGGGGAGAACCCGCGCAGACTGAAGCGGGGAAAGGAAGCACAAAGCGCGCTCGAAATATCACGACAATTGAGTCATACGAAAATATATTTTCATGATGTTTTCTAGCAAGAGACCGAAATTTGAATTACGTGCCTAATATACCTACTTCACTTATTATTGCCGTATTTCATGCAGATTTATTTTGTTTTTTAAATTTTGCCTTGCATAATAATTTTTCTCAGGATGCAGGTATATTTTTAAATAGAAACAGTTTTTGCCTGTTTTTGTGTTTGATAATGTTTTTATTAAATTAATACGTTATTTATTGTGCGAAGCAATAATGTGAAATTAATTAAGTAGTTTCTATGTTGTCTGTATTCTGTAGTGAAATATTTTTTTAGATTTATTGCATCACTCTTAGAGGTTGATAGCTCTTTCAACAATCCTTGCTCGTAACCTGAATATAGAAAGTTATATAATTATTGAACTTTTAAGTCAATGCTACTACAAAATCAGGATACTTTCGATTCAAAATCTTTAATTTAACTCTCAATAGGTAAGTTCAAAAATAATTAATGTGTTTCATTTTAATTATTTCTTTACTTTAGAACAGAAAATAGGAATTTAATATATTCAAATTTTGGGCCAATAACTGCCAACTGAATTCACCCAAAAGATGTCCATGGACAAGGTATCCAGTGGCGTACTATGGGGCAATTTGGGGCACTCTGGGGCAATTTGCACAAACTTTGCTTTAAAATCTCCCGGTAGTTGCTCTGGCCATAGAGCCCTAGATTTCTAGTTACTTCGAGGTGTCTGATCTGCTATTCTGTTCCGGTAGCTGCCTGGAGCTGATCGGGAGGCAACGCGGAGGCGATCCATGTGAGCTCAAATAATTCTAGAGGCTGCGAATTCTTCACATTCGGTGGTCGGCTTCGGCCCAGCGATTTTATCTGGTGTCGAAAATACGCCATCGCCGAGACTCGAATCCAAGACCTCCTCGCCAACGAAACTTCAATTGACGACTCTCAACTGCATGCTGTCTCAACCCTTTCTTTTGACTAATATCGCTTATCAGTATTACTGCACATACCACTTACTATAAATCCTACTACTCTACATCTTACTATTAATTTCAATACTGTTGTTTGGACTTCCTGTATGATTGTGAACACTACTACAAACACATAATACCCCGTAAGATCCCAATTCATGAAGTAAACTATTTTAAATCACACAAATTGCTATTATTTTTGCGTGCGTTGATTTGAACTCTATCACTTTGGCAGCAGACATAAAAAAACATATTTTACTTCTAATCAGTGTATTTGAAATATCAATGTGCAATAGCTTGAATTACATCAAGACTAAATTCCAGGTGATCCCAAAGTTTCTTTCATATAATTATTCCACATTAATTCTATTTTGTGCTTTGTGTTTTGCGATATTATTTACGAAATGCTGCCAAAATCTTCTTCAGAATGCTTTGTCTTATTGCAAAACCATTCGATGTACGGTTTATTCATAAGAAAAGAACACATCTAAAAAATCGTTCACTTTTAAATTAAGTGAAGAAATATTTTTAAATTTTGACTGTTTTACTCGTAAAATACATGAAAGTAGTTGACAAGACAGGCAGTACAGAGTAATTCATTTTGTCTTCCGCCTGAAATAAAAGCCTCCGTTTAGGATAAAACTACTCCAAAATGACAATTTTGCAGATGAGTTTCTTTTCCTTTACACCGACTATGTGTTGCGCCTCTGAAATTCGGCAGATAGCGGAGGCTAATGGCGGTTGCGTAGTTTTGTCACGGTTCCTCCCGCGCAGGGTCCCCGTGCTGGAGTTTGGTCACCTCTGCGCACTTCTCCGAAGGACAGTCATAAGGCAAAAGTCTCACGCATAGGTCATGGTTGATTTGTTTGGCTCCATCCCAGGGTTCTTCGCGAATGTACCAAAGGCGTCCTGTGGCTAATCAGGGACCAAATTCTGACGACGTCGTTTTGTATTCTCAGTTTTATTGCGTTGACCGGGAGTAGCGTATGCCTATCTCATATTATAAAGTGATAGTTAAATTTTAATATTATCTCAAAGTTTAGCTGATAACAATGTTCAAAAACCAGATAATGATGTCATCGAAAATATAGGATCATCTATTAAAATCTAACGACATTCAAATTAAGTGAATATATGTAAAAATGTTGGAATTTGGTCACATTTTTATTACTTTCTAATGGAATTATTGCAGTTTGCTTTCTCCTGAAAATCGTACTTTTTTATTATTTCTCTTCCTGTCTCTCTCTCTCTCTCTCTCTCTCTCTCTCTCTCTCTCTCTATATATATATATATATATATATATATATATATATATATATATATATATATATATATATATCCAATATCCGAAATCAGAGTTTTACGTCTAAAACTAGTTAAAAACTATGTGACTTACTATAGGGGGATGTGTAATCTTTTCACGTTTTCTTCAGCTCCCGAATCTCTATTTTTACGCTATCCCTTTTACTATATTAAGTTGAATTATGAATACAGGCAGCAACGAGTGTTTTTGACAAGAATTGATAAGAAACTATTTGCTCCTGTATAATAAAAAACTATTTGAAAAGCCAGATGAGTTACATATTTTGGATGTTATCCCTAACTGTGCCCTACGTGAAGAAATCGACTTGATGGCGTAAGACCATGGAGAACGATTATTTGAATTGCTTTATGTCCCAGTGAACTTAAAATGTGCAGAGATAGTGCTACGAAACTACTTCTAAAGTATTTAGTCCCCAGCTCTTCAAGTGACGGAAATGAATTTGGAGAACATATTTTAAATCATTGTTATTCTCTCTATTAAGTACACGAAAGTAGATATACGCCGGTGGTGATACCAACCTTCATTGCTAGTGAGAGTGACTTTCACTTTGATACAAATCTTTGTGGAATAACTCAAACGTATCGTGATGTTGGTATAGAAAACCGGATGCCAGGGCCGACAGAGTTGCGCCGATGGGAAAATGCTTATCAGAACAGTAAATGGCACTGGCGTCGCATTGGCGTCTCCTCTCATGGAACAAACCGGTCTCCAACTCCCTTCCAAATACTCACGGAATATTTATCAAGAAAATGTCAAGAGAAACTTCTGAAGAATGCCTCCATTTTGTGTGTATTTGGTAGAATTTAAAATAATTGAAGCGTGTCCTGTGTGCGTGTGTCGAGTACACCAAGAAAATTGATTAAATAAAATATCCATATGAACTGAATGAGTTCATACAATTTAAATTTAGTTTAAAGAAAAATGTATCTACAATCAATTTTTCTGTTGTTATTTGTAAAAACTTAAGGAATCAAATTATCAATTTAATGAACGTTTATTATTTAATACACATTTATTAAACAATAATATTCCAGCTGCCATTTTCATTTAGTAGTGACCACTTGAACGACTTGACCACGGGTTTGCGACACTGGGTCAAAAATGGTTGTGATACAACATTGCGTAAGTTCTCTCATTACTTGTAAATTATGTATTTTTTTTTTAATTCAGACCAGAAAAGTTGTCTCAGGGCATCAATTGATGTCACTGTAGTGCCTCTGACCGGCAAGTCCTGGGGTTCGAATTCCGGCGGTGGCAACATTTTCGACACGGGTTGAGTTCAGCCGCTGTCTGATAGAGAATTCTCGGGCCTGCTTCTGTGATTGATAGTTTCTCGTCGTTTCTCAGACCAACACCAGGCGAATGCTAGAGCAGTACTCTAACAAACCGGCCACGGACCGCGCACGATATTTCTTTCCCTTTCCTTTCCCTATCCAAACCCCTTACTCACATTTTCCTTCAAGTGCACTACACTACCACACTTGTCGAGATACCAGTCGGGATCTTAGAGATTGTAGGGGCTGCGGCGGTGCAACAGTGGTGCCACAGTGGGAGATACCTGGTTGGGGAAAATCCCAGCAAACCGACGTATGTCGGCGCCGGATCTCGCCATGCAGCTGGTAAATATCACCGCTACCTTCAGCGATAAAAATATCCACTACACTTAAGGAACTATGACTTAAGAAAAATGACACGGTTGCCATTTTGAAGCGTCATTTGCTCTATCCGAGAAACAAATGTGAAGAAAAAAAATTAAACCTTTTTTGAGAAAAAAATTAGCTTTACTTCAAGCAAATGTTACCCGAAAAGTATGTTTTAAGAAACTTTTCACCGCCTAATTTTTATCCAGCAGACAGACCTTATACGTTACCGTTTACGTCCCCATGAGATGCATATTCGACCACACACTAAACATCAACACTCTTCTGGGTCCTCTGATCTGCGGTCAGAAGATCGGGAGGCCACGGGTCGCGACAGCACCCATACCCAAGGCGGAACTCGAACCCACGGCACTTCGTGAATCGGTACACGCTCTTAGACACTTCGGTTATGGCCTTATTTAAAATTATATTTTTTATAACAGATTTCATTTAGGAAAGAATCTCTATCTTCAATATTGTAATTTTGCAATGTTAATAGTTAGGACGAAATCAGCTGCTGTCTGGAAGAAATTTCTAGTGGATGGCTGAGCTCTGATCTGTAGTTTTCATTGGTTTCTCCGATCAACACCAGACAAATGCCGGAGCAGTACCCTATCAAACGGACCACGGATCGCGCACGATATTTCTTTCCTCTTCCTTGTCCTATCTGCACCCTTCACTTACACACACACACACACACACACACACTAACATGCACTACACTATCTCACATGTCGGGAGACCGATCGGGAGCTTGGTACTTGTCCCGGCTGGGGCGTGCTCCGCTGGTGGGAGATACCTGGTTGGGGAAACCCCGCTAGCTGACGCGGGGGTCGGCGCCGGATTTCATCATTGAACTATGCAAGAGGATCGCCACCTCCCAGGATGATAAACACATGCACTACACTTACGTGACTAATGAGCGTAGCAGATGTCTGGCTCGGAATCAGCCATCAATCAAACAAGCAACTTTGTTTTTTGGCAGTTTTCGAAAATGCAAATTGTTTACAATTGATCTGTCCCATTTTATAAACGTCTTCTTTAGAGGAAAAGCTTTGACGTCAAAATTTGAAGCCGTTTTTGAGATTTAAATTTATTTTATTAAAAAAATTAAAAAGAATTTTAAAATATGTCTATTTCATGCAAAAGCTACACATATTTTAAAAAATTGACAATAACTTTTATATAAAGATCTATTTTTTAAGATTGGATTTTATTATCTATCTTCAATATTATAATTGTAGGAAAACTCTGGAATCGTTTTAAACTTTTGCACTTTCGAAAATTCATCGAGAACAACGAAAAAGAGAGCTGCCCCATTTTTATCCGTTCTTTTCTCTATTCGAAGGAAAATGTTATTTTACAGCACTTTTGCTAATGTAGCCTTCATGGAAATTTCTTTAAAATCAAAATGTTTCAAATTCGCAGGGCCTTGAGTTCGGTTTGATCGATTGTGGAAGATTAGTAATTCTTTAGAAAATCGTCTGAATGCGCTAACGTTCACCACAGACAGATTGACGGGTCAATATTTCGGTGTCACGAGCCGACAAAACTTGAATTCTGACTGCACAGCGTGCTAAAGGAAGTGAGTTACTACATGCATTAACAGTATTTATCCACTGTTTCAATAAGAGGGCCTGACAATTCAGCTTTTTTACGAAACCACGCCACTTGCCGCTGCAGCATTACAATTCTTTTTACGAGGATGGTTTGAATTTAAAAACTGATACCCAATGTTGCATTATTTTAGTATCAACTAGCGGAACGTGGCAGACGTTGCTTTTTTACGAAACCACGCTACTGGCCGCTGCAGCATTACAATTCTTTTTACGAGGATGGTTGGAATTTAAAAGCTGATACCCAAAGTTGCATCACTTTTGTATCAACTAACGGAACGTAGCAGACGTTGTACTGTTTTTCATCTCCCTTTCTCTCTCTTCGTTTCCCCCTCTGTCCAGCAAAAAAATCTAATAGAATGTTCAAAACGATTTCATCCTGTAGATTACGGTATGAAAAACGTTTCTTGGAAGCTTTTGGCCTCTTTAACTATACACTTGAAAAATAAATACAATATATTCGTTCTACTCTTCACCTCTAGAAATAATAGGCTCCACCTTCTAAATGTTTGAAGCAAGTGAGAAGCTTTCAAACGTTAAATCTAATAGAGCGCTTAAAGTTGTCAATAGTCACACGACACCAGCCACTGGTCTAACTGCATTTAATTGTAAGTGAGAACTAGCAGATATAATGAGTTTCAATCTAATCCAAAACATTTTGACCGTTTTGGCATAGAACGTCTCGTAGCAAAGTCATACATTTTTGTTCAGTTTGGCTGGAAGAAGAAGCAACCATGATCTCACCTTTCCACATCCTCTATTCTCGTGGACAACGACGCCCATGCCAACCACTATGACGTCAATGATTGTATAAACACATCGGGTGAGTCAGCCTAGGAGGACATCTCAAATATTTGCTCAAGAACTGAAAATATAATTTTCACTAAATATGCTTTGAAAGGGCTTATAACATTTTCTCCTCGTGATTCATTGTAGTGTTATTTATTGAAATTGTGGATGTCAGTAGCACCTGTTGCGATAAAATATAAGGAACGCAGTGTTGTTTACATTGACAAAGAAGAAGATAGGATTAATTCTCTAAAAGAAAAATAAGCAATGTTTTTAATTGTGTAAGATATCGATGAAGATTATTCGTTCTATTTTGAAACCTTTAGCCACATTGGCTGTGCCATTATGACAGACCAGACTTGCCCACTCTCGAACAAAATACAAAACAAAATCTAAGCAACTCTTATGTCGTTGTACACAGCCCAAGCGAATATTCGAATATTTTCCTTATTTACATATTTTTTATTTCTTTCTTTGGATGCTTCTGATTACATTCACATAATGATTTTCTGAGTTTCTTAAACAAATTAAATTAGTTGTTTGCGTATCTATTTCTACGAAACGAGGATGCAATCGAAAGTTGCTACGCATTTCATTGTTAACACAATTAAAATTAGAAGCCGTAATATAAATGATTTTAATTTGAACTTCTCAGGAATCGCCTCCAAGTTTTTTTATGTCTTATCTTGTTGCTCTTAAGGTGAGTAGATCAACAAAGTTTAGAAATAATTTAACTGATCCCGGAATTGGGATCACGTATCACAGTCTTGGCGTGAATTAAAATCTCCCGCCTGAGTACTAAATTTCTCGGCGTTAAGTTTGGTGCAGTGAGAAGACGAGAGGGGCCTCCGAGCCATTTGGTTGTATCAATCTGAGTGGCCCCAGTTGGGCTTCTGATCCGCTTTGACAGTGCCCGAAACTCGCTGGTATTGAGGTGGGGTTTGCCTCAGCGTTAATGATTGCTTTACAAGCAAATGATTTCGGTACCAATCTGGTCTGGTGTTAAGTATCGAACTGGCGGAGAGGCCCAGTCCACCCTTGGGGTAGATTTTCACTAAGCGCGGGTATATCTGGATATCGTTCCAACGTTGAACTCGTTCGTTTCCGGAAGGTGAGGATAAGAGTCACAAAATGTATTAGGACCAATACCCTGGGCATAAGCCCTTCTGATGAACAGAATTCTTACAAAAGTGTGGATTCAAGTCTTACGAAGGTGTATATTCATGTCTTGCAGAGGTGTAGATTCAAGGAGAAGTTCTACTGTCCAATCCCTTCCAGTCATCCATGTGTCACAATGTAAACCGAGTATACAGCCTCTACATAAATGGTTGTGAGTGCACCGCTTAAGAACCTTAAATGGGAAAGGGAATGACAGTACTCTGACGTGATTAGGGTCCTGATTCCTGAATGTCGGTCTGCCTGAGTCATTTTCTAACAATTTTGAAACTTCATGATGTAGTAATTCTGGCTAGCGGCACACATTTTTGATTAATGTCTGGTTATGTTATTAGCAAGAACAACTTGCGTTTAAACATTACCATGCAGTCGTAACACATCACTATAATGACGATGGAGTTCCAACTCTGCCTCTCTACTATGTGTTTTATTCGAACCAAATGTCTGCGAAGATTCCCAGGTCCACTCAGGATATCCTCGTGGAATTACGTAATGTTCTTCGATCTCAAGCTACCCGGTGCGATGACTGAGCTTATTCTGTCGTTTTCATTCATAAAAGTATTGAATGTGGAGCATTTACATCATTTATTCAAAAGTTTCCTTCTGGTGATTTGTTAACGTATATCGTATCATCGAAATCATTAGTTATATCATAAAAGTTAACATTCATTACCAGCTTTGATACGTCACAAATACAAGAGATGGGTGCTGTTGACAAAGTAAAGGTGTATCAAAAGTTTTTACATTTGAATATACATCTTAACTTTGGCTAAAATATTTTTTTAGAATTGTATCAGAACGTTTCATTGAATTGTGTCCATTTCCGTTCAAGTTCATAAAATAAAAATGATTTAAACGAGCTTCTGGTTTTAACATTTGCCTCAAAAGAGAATCGTGTCAGAAAATTAGTGACGAAACTCCAATTTAGTTTCCTATCACAAAACACAACTAAATAAAAGTGAAATTTATTCGTTGTACGTAAATTAAGAATTTCGGGATTGCGCTTTTAAAAACGAAATTACTGTTGATTGTTTTTAAACCGCAACATTGTTTCTTTCTTTTGCTTATATTTTTTGAAGATTACGATTTGAAGACTATAACCATCTGCCAGAAACATCACAAGCTTGGTTACACATTATGTAATATAGTTGCCAGTTCCACTCAATCTCATGTCCAAGGTCTTCAAGGAATTCACCAGAACCAATGTTGTTTTTATGCTTTACTCAAGATACTGAGAAATATTTGAAATGCCTTTTTTTTTATTTACGCAATCGGTTGTTGAAAAACTTTGCCATAGCTATCTACTATGTTTCTTTGTGTTTTTTAGCTCTTGCATTGAAACTACAGAAGTTTACGGAATGTCACACACACACACCACACACACACACACACTGCACACACACACACACGCACAACACGCACACGAACGCGCTCACACGCACACGCACTGCGCTGACCAACGCCAAGCACGCGCTCAACGCACACGCACACGCTACACGCACACGCACTGCGCTCACACGCCACAAACACACGCACACACACACACACAACACACACATATATCTATATTATAATATATATATATATTAAATATATATATATAAAGAGTCTTGGAATCGTCCATAAATAGAAATATATGCTTATTCGCAAAATGGTTATTAATTCTCGTGAGCTGTTCCAGAATCGACAGACGAATGATAGTGACGTATGATGGGTAATAAAGAGAAGAGATGAAACTTCATAGTTGTTTTTGCGGAAGAAAATCCGAATATATTTTCAGGTTGTATTGTGAATGAAACGGATGAACGGAAATAAATGGACGCAATTTACACATACGATGAATGATTGTATAATGTAGAGCGTAAATAGCTGGTTGGCCGTTTATGAAATGACGAATAGGACAATAATTTATTCTTTAAATTTTTTTTCTTTAATTACAGATTTTTTCTAAAATTCTTCCATTATTGAGGCTATTTCTTGATTTAAATATGTTAATTTTAATTTTATTGAGTTTCAAATGCATTCAATTTGGTTTCATTTGCTGCTCGACCCCGCAATCGCCCCGCACCGCCCGCTCCGCCCCGCTTCCGCCCGCCCGCTCCGCGCCCGCTCCGCCCGTTCCGCCCGCTCCGCTCCGTCCGCCCCGCTCGCTCGCCGCCCCGCTTCCGCTCCGCTCGCCTCGCCTCCGCTCCTCCCCCCGCTTCCGGGCCCCGGGGGCGCCGCGCCCCGCTCCGCCCGCCCGCTCCGCCGCTCCGCCCCGCTCCCGGCCCGCTTCGCCCCGCTCCGCCCCGCTCCCGGCCCGCTCCGCCGTCGCCCCGCTTCGCCCGCTCCGCCGCTCCGGCCCGCCGCCCCGCTCCGCCCGTCCGCCCCGCTCCGCCGCTCCGCCCGCTCCGCCGCTCCGCCCGCTCCGCCGCTCCGCCCGCTCGCCCGCTCGCCGCTCCGCCCGCTGCGCTTGCAAACCTATCCGCCCTGCTCTAGCCCTGTACAGACCTCGGTGTTGTGGATTGGCAAAGTAATAAATCAAAAAAAAAGACTTATATATTATATATATATATATATATATATATATATAATATATATATATATAATATATATATATTCTAATTTCCAATGCACGTATAAACCGGAAAGGAGCCTTCTATCTGGTCATGTGAGACGATGACTATGGTTTCATTAGATTCAAACTCGCAATA